TACCATATATACCACCGGAACATCATGATTTCTTCAAATCCCTTTCACACACAAAATATAGATGAGTAGTAAATTGTTTTGTAGGTTATGCTTGTAATTTTTTACGTTATGTAGTTAAAAAATGTTTTGAATCACATAAATTATGTTTCTGAAGTGTTTTAAAGATATGTAAAATAAATTGAGTATTGTTTTTTTCAATTTGAAGCATCTCAAATTATGTTGAATGGAGTTAAGTCCCTTCGAAATTTTATAACAAATCAAATTGTTGATTTTGACAGTTGTCTAACTATATTCGTGGTTAGAAAACTAATATTATTTACTTAATTATTGCCACTATTTTAATAGGAAATATAAATTTAACACTTTTAGATACACTTAAGCAGTATAACTCGTTAGTATCTTATACATATATTTTTCATTGCATTAACGCTTTAATGGCCGTACGTGTACGCAGTCAAACGTCGTCAGGGGCCCGGACATATTTTTCAAGAATTAATTTAAAAACAATTTTATTGTCATTCACAAAAAAATTAACATAAAACAAAAAACAATTAAACAACAAAATTAATTTTACATATAATTTTTAATATATATAAATTTATAAATAAAATAACGGTCAATGTTCCGGCTATTACACACATGTTGTGTGAACGGCCATTAAAGTGTTAAAATGCAAACCCTTCAATATCTCGATTCGAATATAAATGGAGTTAGGCCACTTTCAAGTCGATCTTTTTTTTGGACACATTTTAAAAGATACTTTTCGTAGTCTTTTTAATTTCTACAAAATATTCTTCAAATATAAGAATAGTAGTCAAAGATTATACACATGCTTCCACGTACTTCTCAGTTATATTCCATTCAGTAATTGTAAACATTGGCGTAAACACTGATCAAGCTGGTTATCTTTACCCGAATCTAGCTCACCTTTTTTACAACAATTAGAAAGTAATTTTGTACAAGTTTTTAACGTTTAAATACAATCTTCTGACGGTTCATTCAATTATCTTCACTTCGTTTAGTTTTGATTCTCAACCATGAGAAATTTTCGTCATATTGGTTAATATTTGATTTGACGTTGGAAAACGTTAGTCTTGCAAAAGTGTTGTTTTTCTAAAATTTAATATTACATCGCGTTGACGGGATTTTACTATTACGTATTACAACAATCATAATGTAGGATATAACTAAGTATACCATAAATTCCTGTTATTACGAGTTACGTTAATGTTACGCCACTGGAATTGAGAGTGTGCATACTTGTTTAGAATCTTTAAGACCATGGTAGCATGATACGCGTGTCTTGATGTCTCTGTAAATGATTGTTCAGCAAAAAAAAGTATTTTATTCTTTCGCATTAAATATCTTTTTTTTTTTTTTTTGAAAAATGATTCCGTATCGGTTTGTGATTCATTTTATTAAAATACCGATTCACTTATTAATCCTTATCTGTCGTCAGGTTTTTTATATCGATGATTATCACTGACATAAGTTATAAGTGGTTTTGGTAAATATTACTCAACGCACAAACAAATAAAATTGTTCAGTATTATAAGAATCAACTTATTATTTATTTTTTTTGAAAGAGTTAAGATGAAGGCATCAGTGGTCGACTGGTTAAGAGAAATTGTTATCTTAAATAGTGGAAATTTCTTGCATTTTTATTGAATAGTAGGTCTTGATGCGTGAAGATATTCTTTGAACTTTGGACGTCATAGAACAAAGGATATTTTTCGAAAAAAATTGTGTTCACAATTACTGCATCAGTAATTGACCATTTATGAAACTGGAGAAACCAGTAATTGACAATTCTTTCGTTAGTAATTAACCACTTATACTACAGTCAAAATCAATAAAAGCAATTATTTTAATTTCGTTTATTTACTCAATTAAAAGAAATAACAACTAAAAGGTCAAATACTAATGAATAGAAGTTCATTTCTGAAAGTTAATGAAAAATAAAGTTAATTCAAATTCAATATCGAATCTAATTTAGGTATAGAGTAAATATTTCGCGTTTTGATGGATTCATTAATATGAAAAAGTATATTTTCCATTTGTA